ATTACGGCTACATAATACTGACGGCACTGCAACGTGTAAGCGCCTCGTCATTAAAAACACAGTTTGGTCACATTCAACTCATGTAGCTAAAAGAAATGTATTTTACATGTGCTTTTTAAACTGAGTAACCAAACTGCAGTACTTGTCTTACAAAACACGCGGTAGCTACCAACAGCTGCACCCACACTCGGACAATGCAGTTGGAGCAGAGGGATGGGGACGAGTACTCACTGGTCTGAACACGTGAATGTCCTGCGTCCTGGACACCAGGTGTGAACTTTTGGCGATGCAGGTGGCCGTCTCAAGCTTGTCACCAGTCAGCATCCATATCTGCAAGACAGTGGGGATCGGTGACCCGGTGTGCTTGTGCCTCGTGCCCCACAGTGCTCCTACTCACCGTGTTACTCTGACAGCCAGAGGAAAAACGCCTACCTCCACCCACGGGAAGGGGTCAGGAAACTGGACAGGCTGCTCAGAGAACGCGGCTCGGCCCTGAAACACAGATGCCCTGGCCCTGCGTGGTGGCGGGGCAGCAGGGAGTGTGGCTCCTGGCCGAGCCGTGGGGGAGGCCTGGGCCGCGTCGGGGCCACCCCGCAAAGGGGGGGGGCGGGGCCTGTGGGTCTGGCAGGTGGGAAGGTGGGTGAGGACAGCAAGGTGAGACCCTCGAGGAACACCCACTTCGTTCCCGCCCTCCTCCTTTTTCTTTCATTAAAAACGGGACGCAGATGCCCAAGGGCCTCGAGAACACCACGCTCAGTGAGCACAGCCGGGCAGGGGGACCAGTGCTACCTCATTACTGTGACGTCAGATGCAGAGAGGTGGGGCGTGGATACCGGGGCAGGAGAGCGGGCAGACAGGCCCAGAGTTCTGTCTGGGAGGTGAGGGCTGTCACAGTAGTGCAGCTGCGCTCAGAGCGACCAACACTTGGAAATGGCTGGGTGGTGGCCTTCGTGGACCGAGTGCCTTAATACAACAGACAGGGTCTGCACTGACTCGCTCTGCTCAGGCAAGAGTGAAGTGGCGTTTGGACACCACAGCGGAGGGCGCACGTGGGTGCCAGTGGGGAGGGCACCTGTGTGCCCAAAGGCAGCATGTGGATGGCGCTGTGCATGGGAAGCCGCTCTGAAGGGCCAGCTGCAGCCCTGCGTCCCGGCCCTGGTGGCTTGAGACACGTGAGCGTGTGTGCGTACAGGCGTGCCCAGGATCCTGACGGCTGGAGACGTGGAGGAAAACGACGGGGCAGTGACTTCACCCCATCAGGGTGCCCTCTGCCCTGGCACATGCATGGCACAGGTCTTTTGGCAATACTGAAAGCAGAATGAAGGGGCAGTTGTATACGGATTCCCACAGCCCGGGCGGCACAGGGCCCGGCTTGCGGAGCAAGGAGCAAAGACCTTCACCCTGGCTGCCATTTGCAGAGGGAAATGAAGGTCGATGGTTAAACAGCTGCAGCTAAGCTCTAAGCGTCTACTCTTCAAATAAAGCGTGAAACTGTGCCGCTTTTATATTTATGGTTACAGAAATGCACACGCAGGCACATAGGATGCATACGCACCCATGTACAGCTACAGAAATGCACACGCAGGCAC